TGTTACGTTTGGCCCAGCTTTGAGTTCGCTTTTTTTTTTTTAAGGTTTCTTTCTTAAACCCTTTTATTCCTCTTTTGTTTTGTTTCTTGTTTCTTCACCTGTAACTGCTTTGATTTTTGTCCCCCTCTCTAACGAGGTCGTTTTCCAGAGCAAGTGTTTTCGTGCCCTTTTCTTCGTGTTGTTTTTATCAAATGCCCGCTTCCCGCACCGGGACACAAGCTGGCCTTTGTTTCTCCCCGAGAACAGCCTGATAAACCACTAATGCCGGCCGATGGTAGTGGCCAGACCAGTTTAAATAAACTACCCTGAAATCTGGAAAGGAAAACACACCGGGTTGCAGAGGAGGAAAGCAACATTGGGGGATGAAAACGGAGGGTCCGAGACGCGGACGAAGCTTTATGGAGAGGAAAAGAAAGATTTATAGCTGTGTCTTCCCCCTCTGTTGTTATGGGTAACAGTACGTCCCAGTTAAGCAACAAACGGGGATGCAGCTTTCGCGCATGCGCACACGATATGAAGAACAGTGATGCAATATTATATCTTTTGTGAACAGTATCATGAATCTTGAAAATGTTGTGCAGTAATTCAGCTTAGAATGGTAATAGGCGAATGGGCATATCTCAGTTTTGCAAATGGTAGTAGATTGATGAGACTGTACATGTAATGAAATCACAGCACAGTCAATTCTGATCTGTACAATTCTCCATTTGCCATGAGCTCATATCCGTGGCCACCTTCAGGAAACAGCTGTTGTTTAGAGAAAAGCTTAACTACAAAATGTGGTTGTTGTTTTTTCTATGAATCTGGTTATTTGATTAAATTCATTTGAGATGTCTAGTGATTTGTCAGTTTACAGTGTTGTTGAAACAGCTACATATGTCTTGTGATATGAAGTGAAATAGAGTATGCAGTCTGGAATGGAACAGCAGCTAATTCCAGTAAATCCAACAGTGAGATTATTTTTCATTGGATCCAAATAAGGAGTTTTAAAATCACCTGGTCTGTTATGTAACTTGTTTCCTTCTTCACTGCTAGACACTAGTTTCAAATAGGGATGCAGCTGTTGGAGAAAATTTCACCAGCAAAGCACATATATTTCTTCTCTCTTGGAAATAAAACACAGTGGAGTTTAGGCTTTGCTCATTGGGTGCAAGTTCTTAATTCAGCTTAGCCATGCATTTCTTTAGTCACCTGAAACAAGGGAAGCCAAATGCTGCAAATCAATGTGTACCCCATGGGCACAATCTGTCATCCAAGTGCCAAAAGCTGGCCAAGTTATGTGGCAGAAAATTAAAGATGTGACAATGAGAATATGCTGACTACAGGTTGAAAATCAAATGCAATTTTCATAGCTCAGGTTTGCATGATACTTATGAAACAACAGGATCAATGCTGTTTTATGGCGATGCAAGCACAGGATTGGATTACAAGCTATTTCCATCTTTAAAGCTGTAAGTTGTTCATCGCAGAGAATTGTACTCACAGGTTTAAAATAAAAAATCCTATTTATAAAACATATTTTTCTTCTTGCTTAAAACAAAAAAACAGTTCTAAAAGCAAGAGTTAAGAACAAAAGCATACATATCTTGTTTGTATTCTTTCAAACAAACTAATTAGTCTTGAATATCATTCTAGTCCATCTTTATTTCTTTCACTTTTCTTTTTCTTTTTAAATTCCAGATACCAACACAGATATGTACAAATCTTTAGTTGAATGTGAGCGAGCTTCCATGTAAGCCCATGCTTAATCAATTCAGACATTCACTCTGCACGATAAAATATATAGAAGAATGTAAAACATTGTGGTGTTTTTTGTGTTGACAGCTGGGAGCGTAGAAAACACAGCAGGAGGATGTATAAGAGTAGCACCAGTCAAGTCCTTGCCCAGAGTCACAAGGTAGTTTTCAAACGCTCCATCAATGCTTTGAAAGTTGTTGGAAGTTAGGTAACGCTCACAACAAATAGAAATGAACACGAATGACTAGCATACTAATCATTGTTCTGTTATGTCTCATCAGGGCAGATAAATATAAAAACAAATAAATTAATAAGGCAATGAAATGAGAGCATGAGAACATTGTTTCAAACAAAGTTAATATTAAATTCACCCTTTGATGAAGAAACAGTGGGTAACTTCTGAAACAGTTCTGGTAAGTGTGAGTGAGAATTTGATAAGTGAAACAAACATCATTGCCACTAATGATCATTATAACCCTGATGAAACATGAAGCATTATCACAGAGATATTGATTTACAAGACAGGACTATCTTGGTCAGGGAGAGAGAGGATAAATTAAGAATTGACTTCGTAGTGTGTTAAACTGTTAATACACTGATCAGCTCAAAAACTGTGGTAATACAAAGTGCATGCTCCTGTTGAAGAAAAATCATTCAAGTCCAGTTCAGGTTTGCTGTTAGGGTGTGCTGTTTAATAAAGGCCATGTCGGCATCCTGGTGAATGCTCTTACATACAACAGGAGCCAGTCTTGGGAGTAGCGTAAGTGGACCCCGAGCAAATGAAACAAGGTACTTTTATACATGGACCAATACATTAGACAGTATGTTATTTGTAGCCATTGATCAGGCAGTCACCAGACGTTACATGATTAACATCGGAGTCAGAGGGAAGTAATACAAAAGGTAGTGATCAGACCAAATGTAATGGAGACAAAGGGCAGGAAAGGTAGGTGTGGGGGTTTGATCAAGGGGGAAGGAGACAGTAGAAATACAAAGGGAAGAAGGGGTGGGTGTGGGGTTTGGTCAAGGGGACAGGAGACAATATGAATATACATTTGAGAATGAAAGGGACACAACCAGCAGGGGGGGAACCGGCTGCCACCTCTCATTTGGTTAGCAGGTATCTATGTAATTTTCCTCCTCAAGTTCCTTCCCTTGTTTCCTCCGCAGAGATTCCCTTACATCCCAGCTGGAGGTCAGTTTGACAAAGGCGGACTCTGAACAGCTGGCTCGCTCCATCGCTGAGGAGCAGTACTCCGACCTGGAGAAGGAGAAGATCATGAAGGAGCTGGAGATCAAAGACATGATGGCGAGACACAGGCAGGAGCTTAGCGACAAGGAGGCCACCATCAGCTCGGTTAGACCATTTTTGGTTGATTAAATCTAGGAAGTATATGTGGTTAAATTCCAACATACAGGTTGTGCGTGGGTTATTAAAAAGTACAATCCAATAATTAAAATTTTAAAATGTCTTAAATCTAAATAATTTTTCTGTCTAATCGACATGGAACCAATACAGATTTTTCTTCATATCCTTAGTACTTTTTTGCCTGTATGGATGTAAAATAAAATAAATTGCATTCATAATGGTAAAAAAAAGTCATAAATATAACGTGGTAAAAGCTGAAAAAACCCAAATATAGGACGTCTTTTTTGTTTAATTTGGAATTTAGTTTTTAATTGCAGTTTACATTCCTGTAGCAAACCGTAACTTCAACTTTTGTCATCTTTGTTACAGGTTTGACAACATTTTCTATCCTGTCAGCTACTTAAAGGAACCCTGTAGAACCGTCTTGTAAACAAACTTAAATTTTTAAGTATTTAGAAACCTGGATATGTTTTACATCCATGCTTGCAAGCTTGCACTCTTCTTTCTTGCCTTTTGTTGGCACGTTGCTGCCTTTCTTGGCACTATAGCGCCACCAACTGTCGATAAATGGAATTGCCTGATAATGCCAGCAGGAAAAGAGAAAGATGCAAACATTGCTTAATAGCCCTATTTAAGCATTAACAACCCGTGCCATAATTCGCATTTCAAATGTGCTATGAAAATGAAGTTTGCTTGCTTGTTCGTATGGATGAAACTAACCTCTACCCTCACACAGCTGGAGGAGTCCAATCGCACTCTGACAGTGGATGTGGCTAACCTGGCCAGCGAGAAGGAGGAACTCAACAACCACCTAAAAGAAATGCAGCAACGTGAGTGTCATTTTGAATTAATAAGTAACTTTAAAGGAATGACATTTGCCTCAGTCCTGGAATATGTGTTAAAAAGCTGTCTTACATATCCAGATGATTTATAGGGAAAAGGCTGTGAAAATGTCATGAGAAGCAGCCATCAGGGAACAAGCGTACTCTAGAACGGCAGGATATTGGTCTTCAAACTTGTGCTATAAGTCATGGATTACTTCTGTAAAACTTATGTTAAGTAAAAATCTATGAGGCCTGAATTAATATTCTTCTCTGCTATTTATACAGAGCTACAGAAAGCCAAGGAGGAGGAGAAGCAGATGAACTCAGTCAAACTGAGCTTTGAAAGACAGCTGCAGAATGAAAGGACACTAAAAATTCAGGTGTGTGTCTGGGCGCCTACACAGGTCTGGAAACCTGGAATATTTTCTATACTTTCATACTTTTCCCTTTTTTTTTTGCAGACGAATGTTATGTCACATCATTTGTTGTTAAAAATAATTTTCAGCTGCAGGCTTGTGTTGAACTCTGGTCAAAATCACTAAGATCTGAAACAAGTTATCAGCGTCTAGCGGCGTTGATAGTCCTGCAGGCTTCCCCTTCGTATTTACTGAAGTCAGATTTATCACAAATGGATCTCTGTAAAGCTGTGTATTATTCGCAGGCTATCAACAAGCTGGCTGAGGTGATGAACAGGAGAGAGACGATACGAGGAGGCCACAGAAGCATCGACACTGAGGTGCACAGGAAGGAGAAGGAGAACAGAAAGCTGCAGCTGGAGCTGAGAACGGAGAAGGAGAAACTCAACAGCACCATCATCAAATACCAGAGAGAGATGACGGAGATGCAGGCGGTCAGTATGCACACACACACCAGCATACCAACAATCAGTGTAACATGAATACTGTGTGTACTGATTATAACAGCGAGATCTAGCTGGAGATACTGTACATTACAAATGGATTTTGAATTATATTGAATATCTACTTGGAATTAATAAGCTTGTGAATTAATAGTCCTGCCTAAAGATCACATTTGAAACCCGCTCCAGGCGGAAAACTGTACAGAAAAACGGGATTAATGCATTAATGTAATGCATATAAATACATATTGCCAGGCAATTTAAATAGTTCCAATTAAAACATTGTTCCAATAAATTATAAATATTATTATTATTTAAATTTACTTAAGGATGCCAATTTATTTTTCTGGCTTTTGCTGTCGACCAATAGGAATTCTCCATGCCACTTCAATCCCACAATGTTTTATACAGACTTCACAGATTGCAGACAAACAATTGAACTGCAATTAAAACCCTGTTCGTGTCTGTTTATCAGCTGATAGCAGAAGAGAACCAGGTGCGCCTGGAGCTTCAGATGGCGTTGGACAGTAAAGACAGTGACATTGAGCAGCTTCGTTGCCAGCTCACCTCCCTGAGTGTCCACTCTCTGGACTCCACCAGTATCAGCAGTGGCAACGACCTGGACATGGTTGACGGATACCCAGGTAGACAAAGGAGACTTCCTCTCACACTCACCTTATAATATGGCACCAACATGTACATTCAGATGCAGTAAGCAAATACACTTTTGCATGTACTTCCTGCGTTCTTGTTTCTGTAATTTCTCTTCCTGGGGTTTCCATTGTTTTCACTTTGAGTCTCTTTGTCTTCCAGGCCAATTGTTTTTGACCTTTTTCCTCTTTATGCTTCTTCCTTTCCCCCCCTCATTTCACCTCAACTCCTCTCTTCGGGGTCTGGTGCAGTGCGCATTACTCACTCCCACACCTCAGAATCAATGTCCTTCACGTACCAGCGCACACACAAATCTGTCCGCATCGACACCCGACCCAATCTTCACTCGGCTCACACTCTCTTTGACTCTGACTCTGACTCTGAGGATGACGAAGAATATGAAGGGCAGGTGGAGCAGGGCCACCGTCCCCTGGCCCTCACCTACGAACAGCCCCCTGAGGCTGAACCCGCAGGTGACCCTGCATGGCGGTTCCAACCTGGGATGGGGATTAAAACTGCAATTGACATAACATTGCTTTATCATTTATCCATTAAATTATTTTCAGTGTTTTAAAATTTGAGGTAAATAGTTTTTCCTAAATTTGTGGAATTGAGAAAGAAATATCCTCAACCCTGGTTTAACCTTGCCAAGTGTCAGCTAATCCCTCTGCTCTGTTGACTGTTTCTGCTGTGCTTTAATCCTTTTTATTGTTCACTGGACACATGCACACTCACAGCTTGATGTTGCCCTGCTTTTTTCACATTTATTCCACTGCAAAAGATGTGGGGAAACATTTTTCCATGAGTGAAGTTTGTGTGTCGAGCTTTTACTGAGCTAAAAATAAAAAGCTTCCCATTTAAATACATTTTTTTTAACAATTCATTGTAATCCATTCGTTATAGTTTCCACTGAATAGTCTGTTGTTGAAGACAAAGTAGCAAGACTTCCTTCCACTTACCCTTTTTGTGGTTTAAGCGAGGAGTCATTTCCTCTCCGAGTGATGTTTAAGGAAAATGCCACCAAAGTTTCAAAATGCCAAGGTGTTCTTTTAAGTGGTTCACATGATTAAAGGCTGTCTTTGTGTTAACGTCTTCCTGTTTTTTCTCTGCAAACTAGACTCCAGGTTGGAGGGCTGGATTTCACTTCCTACTAAGAACACAAAGCGTTTCGGCTGGGACAAAAAAGTAATGTATCCAGCGTTATTTCTCATCTTATCTACAGATTTGTTTTCTTAGTAATCACCGTTGAGTCATTTCCCCATCTAACCGTTCTGCAATTGTTTCCCTTTCCTTTACAGTATATAGTTGTGAGCAGTAAGAAGATCCTGTTCTACAACAGCGAGCTGGACCGAGAGCAGGCCAACCCTTTCATGACCCTGGACATTGAGTGAGTCATATATCAAACTTTATGTTTTTTATTGAGCAGATATGTTTCACATACACTATATTTGTACATTCATTGCTCACTTCCATGTGGCATTGGAGTTGTTAGAGAACGAAGCAATAGGCGCATAGGTGATATCAAAATAAAATGACAAACAGAATTATCTAAATACAAAGACAAATAAAAATAACATAGAGTGAGTCATTTATGCATGGCCAAACATGTAATACCAAGAATTATTAATAATGGTAAAAATCTTTGCATGGATGAAAAGTTAAGGGATCACCAAAGTTGTTATAATTCATCCTGAAGGGGGACATGAATGTGTTTACCAAATTTTAGTTGTAATAACAATTTGATAGTTGTCGGGACATTTAATTTAGAAAAAAACCTCATAGTGGCGATGAAGGAAAACTTAGAGGATCAGTCTAGACTACAGCCATGCTCATGTGGATAAAAACTTAAATAAGAGCGAGTAAAAATTAGATCAAATGTACAATAAGAACAAACAACAGACTTCAACTAAAACTAAAGTCAGGATAAACTATATGATTAGAAAAGTTCTTTAAAAGAGGAAACTAACTCAACTAAGCATCTTTTTGACCCAAAGCTGCCCAATCACAGACATTTTGAGCCAATGTCTTTCAAGTTGTTCAAGTTTAGATACAATAAGTTAAATCTCTCTTTAACCAGAGCAGTACACTTACTGTATTACCTTTGATCTACACTGAACTCTTCCATGTCTTCCTCCTACAGTAAGCTGTTTCATGTCCGACCTGTCACTCATACTGACGTGTACCGTGCCGATCCCAAAGAAATTCCAAGGATATTCCAGGTAATGGACGAGAACCTTCTCAGTCAGCAGCCAGGTTTTCTCAGTTTAACTGTCTGCCTCAATAAATCTTTCCATTTCCTTCCTTTTCTATTCCCAGGTCCTCTATGCCAATGAAGGCGAGATTAAACGTGAACAGGAGGTTGTAGTGGAGCCCACGCCGCATGGTGATCGTCCCTCCTACATCAGCCACAAGGGCCACGAGTTCATCATCACTCTCTACCACTTCCCGTCCAGCTGCGAGGCCTGCACTCGGCCGCTGTGGCACGTTTTCAAGCCCCCACCAGCCCTTGAGTGCCGCCGTTGCCACACCAAGTGCCACAAAGACCACCTGGACAGAAAGGAGGAAGTTATTGTGCCCTGCAAGGGTCAGTATGCTCAGTCGAGAGTTAATATAGAACTTTACTTTTACCATGGGACCAGGTGTTTGGCCAGCATTAAGATGGAGTATGTATGTGTACACTGTCTAGTTAGCACCATTGATAGTTGTATTTGACACTGTGTCAGAGAGATGTTTAGATACGGTAGCCAGGTACAACACTACCACAATATACAAAGAAATACAGTAGTCTCAGCAAAAAAAAGTAAAAAGGTGTGAAAAGTGGCTGCTTTAGTGCCAGTTCTCCCCTATTATATTCCTCTGTAACTGAACTCACTTCACACAGACTTTGAGGCGATCAGGATTACCTCCAGATTTCATCTTTTAGAAGCAATCGGTCACACATCTGCAAGATTCCCCTGGACATTATGGGTATTAATTCTCTGTTCCCAGTCCAACTGTCATCTGCTGGGAAGTGCGGTGTGTGGTGGTTTTGGAAATAAAGACTTTGAAATTCAAGTCACCTGTGTGGTTCTGATTGATCAGCTGCAGTGACTTACTGTTTAAGTGAATCCAGCATTGAAACAGCAGGGAGGCTACACCTTACTCACAAATTGGAAATACAGTATCAGTGGGCTATTTTATGGCATCACATCATCGCACACGTCTTCCTATTTTTCTGGTCACTCAGTCGATGATGACTTTGATGATGGTTTGTCTGCTATGTTGGAAGATTACTTCCAGCCAGCAAACCGCAAGTTTCACAGAAAGTATCCTTTATCTGTTTCTAATCTATTTCAAATCTCTTTCTTCAACAGTGAACTATGACATGTCCACTGCCAAAGAGCTGCTTCTGCTGACCAACTCTCAGGAGGAGCAGCAGCGCTGGGTCAGTCACCTCCTCAAACGCATCCCGAGGAAACACCCGACAATGAGTCCTCCCTCTGCGGCACAGAACACCCCTCCTGAAGCAACGTCACGTTCCTCTCCACGAGTCTCTCCGCGACCTTCTCCAAGGGGTTCGCCTCGTATGTCGGCCCATCGCGGAGCAATCAAGATCCAGCCCAGCCGACAGCAGCAGTCATCAGGGAAGCCGAGGTGAGGACACACACACAAGTTTATTTCTGTGGTATTTTTTAACATGACTGCAGTATGTGTTTACATGAGATCTTCTGTCCATCTTGTTCTCAAGGTCAAACTCACTACGGCTAATATGTATGTTATTTTCAGATATTAAAAACAAAAATTGTTTATTCTTATCCGAATATTATATCAGTTATGTTGGTAAAAAAACAGCAATATCAAGAATTGTTTTTTGGGGGGATTTTATTTTGTTTGGGTTAAAATGTTATTTTAAGAAAACCATTCACACCACAGATGGTTATTTTAAAACTGTTTACTTCGAGACTCTGCTTTTAATCAGCAGCTCATTTGTGTTTTCTCCCAAATGTTCTCTTTATTTCCTATCATATTGCCTTTTCTGAGCTGTCAGTGTCACAAGAGAACTTAATTTACTGTAAACCGTAGTGATCGGTGTCCCTTTTTGCAGTATGAAACAAAAGTTTCAGTTCTTAAAATCTTAAAGTCTGAGCTAATCTTACAAAAAAATCAATGTATTTTTAAAAAACACTATCAAAACAACAAGACTCTTTAATTTACTGATGATCCTCAGTCGTGAAAGGGGCATAAAGCTGTGGCTGGCACAGGATGTTTCTCGTTAAACAGACTTCCTGAATCATTTGCATGTGCATAACGCTGTATGCAGCATTAATGCAGCATCAGTAGCCACCTAATTGAGCAGGAAATGGCACCAAACCATTATGGGAGTCACTAACTGTATCTGTCCTGTTTTCTGTGATTGATTAAGACACTCAGCTTTCAAAGTTTGCTCTCTCAGCCACAACCTAACTGGCTCTCATCCCTCAGCCCTGGCCCCATGCTCCGTATCATCCTCCACTGACCTCTGACCTCTTCACCTCTGACCCCACCATTCTAACGTCTCTCATGCTGGGAGACTGTAAGTAGCAGAGCTTGTTGCGCCTGTCCGCCCGCCTTGATGCTGTGCTGCTGTGTCCATTAACCGTCCCCTCATCCTAGCAAGCAGCATTCAGGAGCTCAATTAACTACTCACAGCTCTGTACTGCCCCCAGGTGAACTTGGCATGTATTGCCCCAGCAGTTTATGACACTCTAAAGGCTTTTGACCCCTCGGTGAACCTCATACGTACTGTTTCAGAATGCTTGAGTTTGGCCTGAAAGACTGGAGTTGGCCGTTGGATGATGACGATAATGATGATGATGATGATATGTTCTTCTGAAGGAAGTGAAAGAAAAGAGGGGGCACAGAGGGTAACTGGACCTCTGCATGTGTGTTTGCAGTTAGTAGAAGGCTCTTGTGTGGCCAGAAGCATGTTTTTGTGTGACTTCTACATTCAAATGGAAAACATAAAGTCCGTGTTTGAACCTCACTGATGTTACAATATTAGTTTGACAGTTTGGGAAATATACTTGATGAAAATACTTATTGTACAAAAAGCAGAATTAATAATATTTGGGAATATTCTTAGTCTCCGTGTTTCATGTAAAATATTAAAGCAGTAGTTTGTGATTTTGGGAAATACGCTTATTCACTTTCTTGCCCTGAGGAGATTAATACCAATCTCATACTAGTCCATTACATATGAAGCTACAGCCATCAGCCTGTTAGCTTAGCATAAACACTGGGAACAGCTAGCCTGGCTCCATACAAAGGTAACTAAAAGATCACCTCTGCAGCTCACTCAAACAAAGTGTTAAAAAAAAAAGTATTCTGCCAAGAAATAGTCAGACACTTTATCCCCCGTAAAACCAGAAGTTACTTTGTGATGGATTTAGTTTTATCAAAGCCAGGTTAGCTGTTTCCCCCTGTTACAAGTGCTAACCATCTACAGGCTGTAGCTTTATATTTATTCATATTTACTGTACCGTTCTCATCAAACTCTCAGCAAGAGAGCAAATAAGCGTATTTCCCAAAATGTGCTTTAATATTTTATTACTTACAAACATGCAGACCAAGATAATTCCCATATCTGACTGCTTTTTATGCATTTCACTCATGTATTGTGTGGATAGGTTCCTTGTGTAATATGTTTGGATTTTGTGTGGGTGTGCCTTTGAAGTCCAGCCATTCTGTTGGTAGCATCCCAGGTTTTCACATCATTTTCTTTCTCTCTCTCTCTCTCTCTCTTCACAGTTAACCCTGGCTGATCAAAGATGTGTATTTTCATCTTTGTGGATTAATGACCGCAGTCTGGACGCAGTGCCTACATGTGTTATTTTTTTCTGGGAAGTAGACTTAAAAAAAAAAAATGCAAATCATGGACACAAAATCACAGAAACTGGCTGTCGTCATGAGAACTGGGACTGTCTTTGTCATTTTAACAAGAGGAAAATGAGCAGTATTCATATTAGAGTGAGATTTCATCTGAAAACCTCAGCTCAACACTGGGTGATTAAAGCTGCCTTATTTTATAATCATCATGACAAAAACATGGACATTTTATTCCGTCAGATGGAGTGACTTACATGGATTTGTGTGGCATGGCATGTGTGTGAACATTTGTATATAGGTTTAAGAGGTCTGTCTTTGTATTGTAACACAGAAAGTGTAGCTCATAGTATATGATGATGTTTTATTTTTATGGATATCACCAGCACAATATAGTATATGCTTGTCCTGTAAATTAATACAGTTTTACTGAATAATTATGAGTCATGATTTGATCCATTACAATATAAGTCAGAATATTGGGAATTGAACAGACACGATGTGTTTTCTTCTTACCATTCATGACTAATTCAAATAAATTCTGTTACTCTGGAAAATGAATAATTCAGGATTTGTTTCAATATATTGTCGTTAATGATTTGGAGTGAAAGCAAGCTTAAAAAAGCATGACATACAGCATTCAGGCTTGTGGCCCTAATGATTCATTTTGTGCCTTGAGGCCTCATTTGAAAGCTTTCATTCTGGATCTCACACAAACAAATTCCCTTTCAGTATAACATGGATATGGATATTGCATCAAAAGCAGCAGACAGGTGGTGAATGAATATACACTGCAGAGATAGAATCAAGTTAGAGTTTTTCTGGGTTTTTGACAGGGGAAGGATTGGGGATAACTGGGGTTGGACTCTGTGGGCCTATGAGCACCTCTAAAGCTCACTAATTAACACGATATATGACATTTGTTTGTTTGTTTACCTGAATTTGGTATCAGTGAGATTTTAATTATCTTGTAGTGTACATTGTAGCAGAGGTCTCAAACTCAAATTGGTTAGGGCCACTGCTAGTATTATCATCTCATAGGAGGGCCACTTTAATGTTAAAGTACTACAAGAAAGTGCAATATAGATTATATGAAAATATTTACGTTACTAATATCATACTAAAAAAGGTAAACAGCTGTTTCTCTGCAGTTTTATATCATTATTTTATATAATTATTGTCCGTAGCCAAACAACAAATGAAGGTCCGAAACCTGCTCTCTTCTCATCACCCCCTTCAACACATTTGTGGTTATCTTTGTCCTTTGCTATTGTTTTTTGTGCCAAATAAAACATTTTTAAAACTAGAATTATGTTTTATTTAATTTGTATTGAAGGGGTAGCTTAAATTGATATGAAACAACTAGAATTACATTATATTTTTGATATCATGTTGTGGACCTGAGGGAGGGAGATGGAGGGCCGGACACTCCAGGCCAGCAGTTTGAGATCCCTGCTGTCTAGTCTGTGCTAGTATCACTAACAATGTCAAAAGATAAACAATACCAAAGAACACAATGAGCATACCGTACAGTCCTTACTGCATATCGCTGACTTTAATAACACAGATGTGTTGCATGGAACAGACTTGGAACACTGTAGTGATCCTTTAGAGGTGTTACATCTGACTACAGTGTATTTTAGGACACTTTGAACTACACCAGAATAGGTCCGTCTCTATCTTGCAAGTGCATGTGGAGTGAGTGGGCTTGACTGAAATAAATCTTTCAGAACAGCCTAAAGCCAACTGGCACTCATCATACATAATGTAATGGTTCATCATGTTGCCCATCTGCTAAAATCGTATTTCATACCGCAGGTCTAATCCATTCTCGCTATCAGCTGTGTGACTGTATGTTCTGGTTAAATAACCATGAAACCTGCTGTACCTGCCTGCTGCACCGACCTCAGGTGGCACGCAGCCTTCTCCTGCTGTTTCTCCTCCTCATCGAGAATAAACACTGATTCTGTTATCTCTAGTCTTTTAATTTACATTTCTAAAAAGGGTTGCCTTTCTTTCAGTGCTGGTAAGTACATTTTCCCAAATATTGTATATAAGTAGAATTTGAGTAGAATTAGAATCTGTAACCTCAGGATATTGTAGTTATCATACATGATGTAGCCTACTAATAGATGTTTTATCCAGCACATGGTTTAAATAGCTTAAACAATGTAACAGTCTGCACTAATGACTATTACATTGCTTCCCTTTTTATTCACTGTTATCGTGCTACTTATGCTCCTCTGTGTCTTTTATCAGGCTGGTTTGCTAACTGGGCCGGTAAGAGGGTTATTTTTCTTTATTTCTTTAACTGATGTTTTCAGCTAGAATAAATTACTGCAGCCTTACGTAACATGGACAAAGTGGCATCCGATTTATCCGCTCCATTATCTGATCTGTTTTACTCCATTAGAGCTGTAATGTAAATCACTTAATTTGCTTAAGGACTATAGTTAATTGTATATGAACTTCCATTGTATGCCACTGTGTACTGTACATCCACTCCACTTCATTTCAGAGAGAAACTCTACTTTATTTATCTAGGGTTAGGGTTAGGGTTAGTTACTTTGCTGAGTAAGATTTAACATACAAAATATATGAGCAGTTTATAAACCACCCAAAAATATAATAGTTAAATAGTTATAATTAGTTATAATAGTTAAAATTAGCTCCAACTCCCCAGTTTGCTTTGCGTAAAGAATACTATAATATATCATATATTTAATATATAATAATATAATATTTTGAGTACCTGTAATTATTTATTTATATTTACTTATTTACAGGACTGCTGTAATGGAGTATTTTTATGTTATTGTTATATCTACTTTTACATAATTAAAGGATTTGACTATTTTATCCACCACTGCTTGTGGTATCAATGTATTTTTGCTTTGGTTACATACAATAGAAACAATATAATAAATTGATACACATTTTACTCTTCAAATATGTTGGTAAGTAAATTAATTAACAAAAAATCAAGGTATAAGTTGAGGCCTTTACTAAACTTTTTAATGATAAGCTTGCTGCTTACTTCATATGATCACATTAACACATAGACTACAACATTGAATTTCAGAATCAGCCATTAGCAGAACTATAAGTCAATAAAACAACATAAACAAGTTTCCAGGTCTTGTACTTTACCCACAGGTTAGAGTCACACAGTCTGTTGCAACTGCCTATCTTTGACGAATGACTGTGCTGTGACGGGTCCTTGTTTACTCAATGGGTAATTATTAGATTGGGGGATTCTGCTCCCCAAATGACTCAGTAATTTGCTAGTGAACACTGCTGAATCTAATATAAAAGCAGTCTGGCTGATACTCATCCAACTATAAAACAACAGTAAGTTTATTTTGTTACTCATGTTAATGAATATGATGTGCATGAACTGGAAATGATTTGTGGTTTTATCAGATGTTTGAAGTTTTCTGATGTATATCTTCATTTCTAATTCAGTGTCCTCCCCCTTCTTGTGTCCTAGTAATGAAGTTCTGGTGTGCTCTTGCTTTGCTATGGATGGCTTATTTCTACCAGGGCACTCTGTCCTGCCCGGCACTTTGCAAATGCTACGACAATAGAGCTGAGGTGGTCTGTAATGAGGTCCCCCTGACAGAGTACCCCTCTGAGGGTCTCTCGAAGAACACCACAATGCTGACCATCCAGTTCACAAACATCACTTCCATCTCCGGGCAGCATCTAAACGCCACGCCCCTGCTGCAAGGACTCCACCTGTACAGCAACCACCTGCAAAGCCTTTCCTCTGATCTTCTCAGAGGCGTTCCTCTCCTCAACACTTTGGATCTCACACAAAACAAACTGTCTGCTCTGCCTGCGAATGTCTTCAGCCACGCCCCGCTCCTCAGCTTGGTGCTGAAGAATAATCAGATTGAAACGGCTGATGCTGAGTGGTTTCCCAATGACAGCAGCCTCAACTGGTTGGACCTATCTGGGAACCATTTAATGAAGATCCCAGCTGCTCTGCTTCAGAAGCTGCCCCACCTGGAGAATCTGGACCTTTCCAAAAACCGTCTGGAGAAGATTTCTAAAAATTCTCTCGACTTTATGACCAAACTTGAGAGGCTAAACCTGAAACACAACAAGCTAATCACCCTGGATGCATCTCTATTTCAGAACACCCATAACCTCACCTATTTGTTCCTCACTCGAAATAAGATCAATGAACTCCCCAAAAACCTTTTTCGGGAGCTCACTCAGCTCAAAATTTTGAGTCTTGATGACAACCAGCTGAGCCACATCCCTGACGGTTTGCTGGACCCTCTAAACTCCCTGGATGATGAGGGGCTTGACCTGACTGATAACCCCTGGCTATGTGATGGGTCTGTTGAGTACCTCTGGAGGTGGCTTCAGAAGAACAAGAAGAAGGTCTTCCTGCCAGAGAAAATCTTATGTGCAAGACCGCAGTCCCTGGCACAGCGCTCAGTGATGTCACTGACCGAAAGTGAACTAAGGTCTCAGTCTTAACATATCAAATATGGGTTATTATTTAATATGGTAATATACCCAGCTCAGCCTGTCAGAGCTGTCTTACTTTTCAATCAACATTCTCTTTTGTGTAATGCAAATATATAATTAAATATGATATGAGTAAAAAGAGCATTTAAGAGTCTTTCCTTGTACTTTATATGCAGATAAATGAAATAATGTGGGGTTTTTTTGTGACATTTTTATGATGACAGTTTGCTGTTTTCTGTTGAGATTTAAATGCAAAGATCAATACCATTGTGTTTCCAGTCTTTATGCTAAGCTTAACTAATCAGCTGCTGGCTTTAGTTCCATATTGAATCGACAGACATGAGAGTGGTATAAATCTTATCATATAACTCTCAGCAAGAAAGCAAATAAGGATATTTCTACAAATTATGAATTATTCCTTCCCAACAGATTGTATGGTCTTCAAAAGGAGCAATCCAAACACCACAAATATTTCATAGCGAAACTGAATGATTAAATCATATATATATATATATTATTAATTCAACTGCTGAAAATAACTTTTTTATAATAATATATTACACCATTACATAGAAATCTTCCTGCAGGAATAAAAAAAAAATATTGATTTGTGTGACGCAACATCTGTACTTTTATAAAGTACAGAAGAAAGCTGGTTTGTTTGCTGGGTTTTGTTTGCCTCTTGCAACATTTTGTCCTGACTGATGATTGCTGAGAACAAATATACTCAACACTGTAGAAAACCAGGTCCTCGATGAATCACAGAGGGAACTCTGCTGTGCCTTTCAGGTAGGATTATACATTTATGATCCGATGTTCCCATTGTAGTTACATTATTACATTTTCTTTATATTCTGTATGAATCTGTCTCTTTATATGTTTCATTTGTACAGTGCTTAAAAGATGAACTTGTGGATACTCCTGACTTTCACTGCACTGGCTGAATGCCTTCACCAAAAAAGAGGCGCCCACTCGTGCCCAGATCACTGCTCCTGTTCCTTTCCACCTTCAAGCGCAGAGGTGGTGTGCAGCCAAAACTCCCTTACACATTTCCCTGTAAATGGTTTACCCTCCAACACCACTCGACTGTCCATCCAATCCACCCTCCTCAGCAGTATTACAGCCAGTCATTTGAGTGTTGTGCCCCTTTTAAACAACCTCCAGCTGTACCACAACAACCTGTCAAGCCTTCCTTCAGATCTACTGAGGGACGTTCCTCATTTGGACACGTTGGATCTGACGGGTAATCAGCTGGTTCATCTTCCTCCAAATGTCTTCAGCTGTGCCTCACTTCATGGTCTTGTGCTGAAGAATAATCTGATTGAAAAAGCAGATGCTGAGTGGTTTCCTGACAACAGTAGCCTAACATGGCTGGACTTGTCTGGAAACCGTTTAACTGGTGTACCCGCTGCTTTGCTTCACAAGCTGCCCAACCTAGAGAGTCTAGACTTGAGTGACAACAATCTGCAAGAACTACAACCTGACGCCCTAAAGAACCTGCACCGCCTCGAGTCACTGAATCTCGCTGGTAACAAATTAAGCTCCCTGAATCCTACAATGTTCACCCACAACCTGAAACTATCCCAGCTGTTTTTTCAGGAGAATCAGCTCCAAGATCTACCAGCGACCCTCCTCCAGGGTCTCCAACATCTTGAGCTTCTGCTGCTAAATCAGAATCGGCTGCAGAATTTACCCTCAGGGATGCTGGAGAACAGAAAATCCTCTTTCCAGATGATCTTAACAGGAAACCCCTGGGTGTGTGATGAGAGGATAGAGTATCTGTGGAAGTGGCTCACTGTCCATCCTCAAAATGTTTTCTTTTTGGAGGAGGTGACATGTGCAGGGCCTGAAGCTCTTAAACATCGGCAAGTGGTCTCTTTAACTGGCAGTGAGCTCGGACTTCACAAGATTCAAAATTTGTGATGAAAAGTGGATCTTTTGCGTTTACTTTATACATTCCACTAAAATGTTATGTCAAATTATAAATCATTCACATATATTTTACTGTATCAAAGGGTAAAATAAAACTTCATGATTCATTCTTTTATCTAGCACTGCTCCCTTGTGATCTCTCCTTGATCTCTTCATTGCTTGGATGTTGTCCAGCCCACTGGGTGGCGTAAGATACTCAATAAATTTTCAAAGCAATGAACTGAACAGACAGTGCAGCCCATTTAAGAACCAGTTTACTCGGTAAATCCCATCCAAAAATGTGCTGCGAATCTTGATGCTAATATATTCTGATTGTATTGATTTTTTTAAAGAACTGTGAGGCACAAAATCTCAATGAAAATGGGCATTATTCAATGTATCGTCAAACCCAATTTTTGAATGATGTTTTAAAAAATAAAGAGCGTAAAAGATCATAATTCAAAAAAGCTGCAATTAAGAAAAGAAAATATCCTTCAGTGGTGTCACAGAATCGCCCCCCCACCCCCCACCCCCTTTCCTTGATGTGCTTATTAAGATTGTTACGGTGAATGCTTACTCCAGCAGATCTGTGTCACTTCTTGTTGGTTGCATCGCAGATTGCAACATTGTTTCAGTCGTGCCTTTTTGTTTTTAATGATGTTGAGCATGTGGGAGTGTGTGGGCAGTGCAATGGCTGAGTCTTGCAGATGACCTCTTCTGGATGTGTTTAAATATCTCCCTCTCTCTCTTTCTTTAAGTCTCCCTTCCTCATAGGGTATGTATGTGTGTATATCTTCTATATGCCCACACACGCCTGTCCTCCAGCCTTGATCACAGTGAGTGCACCCCAAATGTAAGTTATTACTCTAATAAAATATAAAACATTGCCTTCTCTGGAGGCTGTTACTTATGAAAATTAAACCTTGTTTGTAAATGCTCCCCAAACAGCAGATGGAGAACTTCAGAGCTTTGATGTATTCCACCTCTCTGAATTGTATCCTGGAGGTTAAAGGTTAGGGTTATCGAATCCTAAGTCCCTCTTATGAGAATTGTCTCTGGGTGGAAACATCTGTTCTAGGCAAAGTGAACAAAGGCACTTTCCTCTACATTAACAACTGCTGCTTCTCTTTGGGCATGACATTTAATCTCCATCTGCTCCTGCAAACCCTCCAGGTCTGATGTTTGTAAGTGTCTAACGGTGGGCAGAGCGTTCCTTGGATAAATGAGGATGAGGCCTCCCACTCCTGATCAGTATGGAGGAATGGAGCCTGAACTCTGGCTCGCCGCCATACTTTCAGCTAATGATGAGTGACTTACACTGAAATCTAAAAGGTCACAGGCAAGGTTTTAACGCACTTGAAAATTACTGTGGTCCTTCTGAGTCGGTGTTGTAGTAATGGAGACATGATTGTCTTTGATAGCTGCTCATTAGCACATAATAGAGCACTAATTACTTTGAAATTGTTATCATAATCAACTAACAGAAAACGCAGAACAGTATTTGCTTTCTATTATTTTTTGTTTATGCTTCATTTGAGGTGTAGTTTTTCATAATAATTAAATTTTCTTCCCTTTCTTAAGATTTTTTATGAAATTGTCAATAAACAGCATATTCATAACTCACATTTAAATTTTTACTCCACAACTTTTATTTAACCACTAGTTGTTAAATAAGAAAGAAAGATTTTACATATTAAAGATCTTGTCTGAGCTTAATATATTTTAAGTTGTTATAGAATGAATTAAATCAACAATATATAAAATGGTTTTCAACCTCATGGAAGAGGAAGGCATCTGTGATATTTGTCTATCTGTAATTAATTAATCAACTTATGTATAATAACACTCATAAAAGAGGCATTGCGATTATAATTAAGAACATTTTTCTGGTAATACTTCAAAGTCAAATGTGAAGCATATGCAAAATCAGTACTACTCTCACACCTGTACTTAAAATATAAGGCATCAGTCAGCAGTCAGTTAGCATAGCTTAGCTTAAAGACCAAAAACAGGGAAACAGCTCATCTGGCTCTTTCAAAGGTAACAAAATCCATGTAGCACCCCTAAAGCGCACTAATAAACACATTATAGCATGTCTATTTAATCCATACCAAGTGTAAAATATGATTCACCAGACTTTTTCTTGGCAGTAACATTTCCGTTGCTTGCCTTGCAACTGCTCCCAGCAAAGAAATAGTCCCCCCACATAACCCACCACAAAACACTGAACTGGCGTTTTTACACTTTTTGTGCAATGCTTTGTTGATTAGCATTAGTGAGTGTTAGATGTGCCTGTGGGGAAATGTTGTTACCTGTGTTTGCCCATTTCCAGTATTCATGTTAAGTGGCTTCTAGCTGTGGCCTTATTTAACAAACTAATGTGAAAAATGTATGAATCTAATTATCCTATAGGGTATTTCCCAGAATTTCAAACAATTTTTAAAAGCAAGAATTGTAATACAGATTTCAGATTGTAGTATTATACATGGCTTAAGGATCTCAATATTTCTTTCATCACTTAAAATGAAAGTAAAACATTTTTACTCAGCAGTCTTCTCAGGTTTTACAATACACTCTTTAACTGTCTCAATTTTAGTACAGGACGATCGAACCAAAGATTACAGCCTACAGTACAATTAATCACAAAGAAAGAAAATCCCAAGATGAAGAGTCACCTCTAACAAGACACACATTTATTAAGAGACACATCAACCACTTCAACCTTGATATTTCGCAGGGCACACTCACCTTCTTTCGTTTTGTGTGTTTGAGCTCAGGTGGAAATAAGAAAACTCATTGTGTTAGATTCATTAAAAGCTTACCTGAAGGTGGGTGAGAGGAGTCACACCGTGGCTGCCTCCAGGAGCTTGAGGCCATTACCATGCAAGCACTTAACAACAGTTATCAACCCTCCCACGCTTTTTACTCAAGGTTGACAGCATTTTGTTTATGCCTCAAACTTGTGCATGTTCAGGACCAGCATGCATTGCAGCCCTCATCTAGTATGTTTAATCAATTTTATCATAAGTGTTTGAAGGTGGTGAGGGGGAAAAATAGCATGATCCCATGCATTAACCTGCAGCTTCATTTATCATAATCCACGTGCATTTTATTAATCTCCTTCCCCTGCTCATAAATCATCGCTCTACTTGACAATATAAACATGGGGAGAGGAATGTGCTGTTGCCATTGTGCATTATCTCATTATTGGCAAAGAGAACTGAGGCCGCGTCCCGCGACTGTAAGATTGGTTGTTGTAAATGGCCTCATGTGCTCTCCAGGGAAATGGGCTATTAGGAGGCTCCTTCTAGATGGACGCCACGTTTAACACCCTGCCACAAATCGGCGGCGATTTTATTGCGGGAATAAATGTTTTGATGGAGGCTTCCTCGATATCCCCCAGACATACAGATAGTGACCACAAAAAACAAAAAAATAACATTAACCTTTGAAGAAAAGAATCAGATATTTATCCATTAAAATCTCCATCCACATGTAATGATGCAGACAGAAATGGGAGAAATTGTGAAGGAGATCAAAATGATCAAGATGACAGGAACAGGAACTTAATGGAAACAGGATGAGGACACAAAACACCAGTGATGATGCATGTAAAGACAGGAGATGAAGCATCAGTTTATGGATGTTGCTCTATTTTCTCAGCCAGATGCTTGTTTTTTGGCCTCAGACAGAAAGAAAACCTGATAAGACTGTAGATGAAAGGCTGGAAATTCCGCAAGAGTATACCACAGGCAAAGAGGACAGACAAGTCTCAGATTTCTGTTTAAAGGGCTGGTTCACCCAATTACAAAATACATATTTCTTAATTGTATCTCTAGTGGTAGTGGTTTATTTATGTTTTCTGCTACTGTCCACTACATTTACTGTATGTCATAACTACAATAGTTAATTTGTAGATTCACATTAATAATACAAATTATAATCAATAAATACATTTTGATGCATTCGTATACCAGTATGATAAGGCTTTATTGATCCAGGAGTGTATACAGTAATTAAAATATGCCCCACCTTGCAACATTAAAGTGATGTATAAATTAGGCAGAAGTCCGGCTCTAATCAAACCAAAACTATCCCTATGGATAGATATCAATACCATTAAAATGTGTTTTTTGTGGCCGATTAAAGCTATAATATGTAAAATTTCTAAATACAAATGACACACAAATAATGACACACATACATAACTACCTATTTTTTTTTTGTAACACATGGCAAAAATACCACATTATATATATTATTATAAAGACCCCTCAGCTCATGTCTTATTAAGAGGAGCCAAGCTTTCTCTGGCTCCCCTGGACTTCACACCCTGCTTATGAATTGACCTTTTCATTTGCATAGAGAAACATTTTATTGTTTCTTCTTTCAAAAGTCTCATTTTCACACCAAACATCATGGAGATCCACATGCAGATAGAAGGCACCCACATCTGTGTTTTTCATTACCAAGGAAACAACAGCTCTAATCTTGCACTGACATGCTATTAGCGTCCTTAAAAAAAGAATACTGACAGGTCTTTAACTCCTCCCCCAAACTTCCGCCATTCTCATCTGACTGCACACATCCACTCTCTTTAATTACTATGTAAATATTCTGCTGCAGTGATGCACCGTGTACAGCCTTGATCTGAGGCCTCTGAAGGAGGAAAAAAATCTTTCTTGTAGATACTCATCATAATTCCTTTTGTGTCTTACTCAGTAATTTTTCTTTCCAGGGATGGCAGATTGATCTCCACATTGGCATCCATCTGTAATCACCCACAGTGACCCACGCAGGGGACAAACGGTGCCAAGGGAGTTTAATTACCTCCGAGGACAAAAGACAAGGACACAACATTTCATCACTGATGTCTAAATCTCCTCAATGACTCCTCACATCCCTTGCCATAAGTTTTTATGTCGGCTCGCTGAAGTTCTTTCGCAGTGAGCTCAAATGGATTATCATCTGGCTCCATCTGTCCAGAGAGGCTTTATGCAGTGCCTATAACAGACCTTTCACCTGTTGTTGGGGCGGTTGGTGCGGAGCCATGCTGACACTTGTTCACAGGAT